AGTAACAACTCCAAAGAAAATTACTCCATAACAATAAATCACATAATGAAAATAAAACAACATAATTAATCCTAAATAAATTTTCCTAATTGCCTCCCAAATCTAAATTCAAATCAGTTATCTTTCCCTAAATAAAACTTTCTAATTCCCTTCCAAATATGATTAAAATCATCCCTCTCTCCCTAACTAACATTCCTAATTCCTTCCCAATTTTTGTTTTCTATGATAAGTAATTAAAGGTAATTGTAATTCTCTTTGAGCCCCCCTCTCTCCTTGCCGGCGGCCCACACTAGTGGGGCCCAAAAGTCTCTTCTGCCATCAGCTAAACCTATCCCCCTTGCTGGGGTAGAGTTAATTGGCTAGACCGACTCAGCCAGTCCATCAGCCATAAACACCAGCGCCTAAAATTTCAAAACCTTGGAATGATTTGTTTATCAAAATTGGACCTCACAAGAACCATTCATGAGGACTATTTAGACCGCATAATGAAATAAGTTCTTTATCATCGCCATCTAAAGCGTAGAAATTCATAAGGCATGTTTGGATGAGGCTTAATTCAAACTTAAGTCAAATTAAATTAAGCCTTTACGCCCAATCAAATACTCTATGTTGACATCATTTAACTAAGCAATTTTAAGCTTGGCCGAGTGAATGTTGAGCTCTCACGATAATCAAGTAAATTTAAATAAAAATAGAATTAAAGTTTATTAAAGTAAATATAAATATCATTAGATTTATAATCACAATTAAGATTATGTTTTAACCTTATCTTTTCAAAATGATTAAGTCTACCATTACATAATTAAGAAAAGTTAATGTGGAAAAATGAAATTCCATCAATTTAGCCTAATATATATCCTCCCCTACTTCCGTAATCACATGGAATTATTCACATAATGACACCTCATTGATTCATAGGATATTGTTGCCATCTCAGCAATCCATCGATTATCCTAATTGTAATTAATTATGTGCTTATTTTTCATTCCCTAATTGTTGTTTATATATTCATGATGTTGAATCAAATAAAAATTTCAATTATTTAGTTCATTTTTATCACTTTTATGAATTATTTGAAATTTTATGAGTTTTTTTTAAAGGCTTACACCTCACCTCACTAAGACAAAATGCTTTAATTTCCAATTTTACCTTTTTAAACCTTGCTTTATGGGGATCTCGTCACTGCTAGTTTATGTTGACAACATCATCATAACTAATAAAGACTTGGAAGGTATAATGACTGCAACGGAGGTTGCTCCAAGAATTTGAGCTCATATAAGTAGGTAAGATAAAGCATTTCCTTGACATTGAAATTGCATGCTTTTGTCATGAGATCTTTATATCACAAAAAATACATAGCACCTATTAAAAAAGTAGGGAATTTGGGACACAAGACTATCAAGAGCCCAATGAAATTTAATCATAAAATTGGAGATGCTCTAAAAGACTCAACTGTTAAAAGAACTTTCAATTAAACTCCCGTATTGCTGCCCTAGCTGCATCTCTCAAGTGAGTTTTTGTCATCCACCAACTAAATTAGCTCCATAGTGATGTGAATCAATGTAGGAATTGCGATTGGAAATTAAAATGAGAATTATTCAAAGCGTTGTCAAAACAAATTTTATTACCAATAAAATGAAGGATTAATTCGTTCTAGGTAATTGACTTGCTTAGGCGAAGATTTGCTTTGAGATAACCAAACAATTCATAGCACTTCCAAAACAAAAAGATCTACTTAATTGCTCATAACAAAATCCCACAATTAATAATAAAGAAGTTCACCTTGAGTACCCTCTCTTTCTCTCTCGTTCACTCTTGGGCTTTAGCGGAGAAGAAAGAACCATGCGAGGATGAGGAGCACCACTACGATGAAGGCGACGAAAGACTTTGATACCAAGAGCTCACCGAGGTGGGCTGTTGGGTACTTCGGGTGGAGCCTCTCCTAGGCCTCCATTCTTTCTCTCAAGCTCTCAAGCAAGAAAAGAAGAACAAAAATCTCAGAATTTTATTAATCAAACATTAACCTCATACAATAAGAGGAGACCCCTTTATAAAGGTCTCAAAGCATGAAAAGAAAAAAGACTCACATGCCCCTTGGGCTACAACAAACACTACGCCTTCATAAGGGCGAAATCGTCACTAGTACATGAAATAAAAGATGCATAAAAAAAATAACATAAAAGACATGACAACATCAAAAATATAAACTCCCGATCGTAGCCGTCGATCTACGATTCCTTCGCCGATAAACCTGCCTAAAATGTTTGTCGATGACCTCATCACATAGCCTCCACCAACCCTCGTGGCCTCAATAACCGAACAACAATCTTGATATTTGGCTTGAGCCCCTTCATGAAATTCTCTTCCAACACTGTTTCAGATAGCCTCCCTAATCGACTAGAAAGATACTTAAACCTCTCCCGATAATCCATCATTGTCCCTTCCTGAACTAGAACAAAGAACTACTCGTAGAAGTCTCCTTTCCAACTGATTCAAAAATATTTTAATAAACTATTTTTTAACTTTCCCCACAATTGAATTGGATCTCTCATATATCTCCACTGATACCAAGACAAGAGCTTCCTCTCCAAGCATAAAGCCACCACCGTGAGTCTCTCCTCCTCCATCAGCCGATTCATCGCAAAGTACCTCTCCACCCCAATGTTTAAAATTGTGCAATTGTATATTGTGGAGTTTTACATTCGTGAGGTGAGACATAAGGCTCAAAATTAGAAAATTGTGTAAAATCAAACTGAATATTTTTTTGTATAATAACTTAATAATAAATTTTAATATAGGAAACAAAAATTTAAATTGACTGAAAATAGTTGGGATAAGTTTGTTGGTTCTACTACTTGTGATGAAAATAAAAGTTAATAAACCATTTAAATATTTAATAAAATAGGAGGCGTATGTGAAAGGGCGGAACCTTATGTGACTTTCTATTCAACAGAAAAGGTGTCATCCAACTTACGTGACTTTTGATCCAACAGGGAGCGTCGTCGAACTGCTCTGACTACCGATTGAATAGGGAACATCGTCGACAAAGGCGAAGAAGCTTTGAGTGAATCGTTTAAAAGTCTACCTTACGTGTCCTTATTTTTAATCCAATAGAAAGGGTGTCGTCGAACTTACAAGACTTTCTATCGAATAAGGAACATTGTCGCACTATTTTGACTTTTGATTGAACCGGTTATGTCGTCAACAAAGGCAAAAAAGTTGTTAGCGACTCGTTCAAAACTCTACATTACGTGCAGCAGACAAAGTCGAAGAGTACAACAAGGTGAACCAAGGTTTAAAGGTTAGGTTTAAGTTTTAAAATTTATTTTTACTCGTTCTACTGAGGCGAATGCATCCCGTAAATGAGCGAGGCACGCCTCAAACAATTCAAGGCTTACGCCTCGCAAGAGCTACTATAGGCATCCGCCTCGATTCGTTCTGAGCCTGAATTGCACTTAAATAGTGCTCCACCCTATAGATCCACCCATGAGTATCTTCTCCCACAAAAACGGACATCTTCATCTTCCTCACTCTTGGATCCCCTTCATTTTCATCACAATTTCCTCTTCTACCTCTGACTCCTCCCATGTGGCTATTATTGTGATATCTCCATTGTTCTCTCCCACCACCACTCCTTTCATAGATATCCTCTTCCTCAAAATCATTCTTTGTTGTTTCTTTCTCCCAATTTCTCCTCATGCATATCCTTCTCTCATTTCCCTCCTAATTATCGGTTCAAGTGGTGGCATATTTCCCTGTCGACCAAGATTTTCACCTCTGGATCATCTCCCATTGTGCCGATATTAGGGTTTCCCCACTTCTTTAGCCACCCGCCCGTGCTCTTGCCTCTTATGTTACTGGTTGGGTGTAAAGCTCCAATATTTTCTTCATCATGTCCTCTAGGTTAGAAAACCATCCTCCATGATCCATTCAATTTCAGATTTGAGTTTGCCAGCTTCTCCTTCTAATTTTTCTTCCAAAGTATCCACTTTCTTCGGCGCCATAGGTCTCAAATCATGCTATAATACCAATTTAATAGGAATTCAATCTCCATACAGCAACAATAGCAATAACGAAGAGAAAATGCAGCAGAAATCAGTGAGAAAGAAAAAGATTATGGGCTAATTTATATAGGCACAGTAAACCAAGATACAAGTTGATCTACTATTTGAGAGGCAGATCGGTAAATTGACTCAACTCCAAAGAAACATCTAGCATAAAATTGATGACAAAATTAAAAATTATTGCATTTTTGTGAAAAGTATATGATATTATGCACTTAACTCTAACTAGTTGCCTCCACCACATAGCCTAATCTACCACCTATGTGAGAACTTGGCATCAAAACCTATATTGAATGACTTTATTTATAGGGAGTGCTCCACATACAAATCAACATCTAGCATAAAATGCAAATCAACATATAAAAGGCAAAATTTATATCTCCTGACACCTTCATTATTTGATTTATGCCACCTCACTTATCTATGGGATTAATATTAAGTCTCATCAATCATGAACTTTCCAAGTTATGATTAATTATATATTTATTTTTCATTCCCTAATTCTTGTATATTTCCTACCAAAACTTCCCCCATGCTTGTATAAAATCCTTTCTTGTGGAATGAAACATACAACAAATTCTATCCCATTTTTATAAGTGAATTTAAAGTAAATCTAAATTTCAATAAAATAAATAATTGCCATAAAGTTCAAAATCAAAATTAAGCTTATATTTTTCAAAACAATTAACTTTACCTTTACACACTCATCTTTGAAAAGTAATTGAGTTTATTTTTCATAATTCAATAAGTTAAAAGTTCATTAAAGTGAATTAATCATTATTCAATTAATACTAACAATTAACCTTATTTTACGTCCCAAAAGAAGCCTAAATTTCCATTGAAGTAAAGATACGACAAGGTAAAGGCAGCCAATCAAGTGTCAAAAAATCATAAGAGAAGCAGATATGTCAAAACGAAATATACGAAATCACTTACTTCATTCTGCGACTCCACATTCTCGTTCTGCTCCCGTCCTTTCAACTCGGCCAGAGGCCGCATCCTCTCTGCCCTCTCCTTCTCAACAATCAACTTCTCCACCAAGCCCAGTTTCCTCTTCTTCCTGCTTACATTCAACACCTTCTTCTCCTTTCCTTTCCACGCCATTCCCTTCCTAAAATGCTTCTCCGACTTCCAGCCCGGTGAGCTCGTATCGATCACCGTCACAACTGTGCCAGTGTAGACGGACGGATCCGAACCTGCTGCATGCCCTGGGTTCGCCCGCATCCTCTTTATCTTCTTCCGATCCCTCTTCGCCTCGGCAATGCTGTTGTCCGCGCTGGGAGGTGACATCGCCGAAGCCCCACCATCCACGCTGGCCGAGGCTGAGGGCACGCACGCCCTAGGATTCAGCTGCTTCCGCGCCCCTTTCAGACATGCAGCTGAGTCCCGCGGCTCTCCCATAACGAAGAGCTCGGAGAGAACGTTGCTCATCAGATCGAACAGGCGCTGCTCCTTATCGAAGACGATCCTCTTCTGGGACTGCAGCTTCTTCCCGCAGGGAAGGGCATCCATGGCATCTCGGCTCGGAGTGGACTTAGGGTTGGAGTTGGATTGGAGAAAGTGGTCGAGATCGAGATCCGAGGAGACGGTGAAGCCCTTGGAGGCGTGAAGGCGATCGAGCCAACTGGGGCTAGACCTCGAGGTGGAGATCGAGCAAAGCATTTTTAGAGCTTTGAGGACGGATTTGAACGACGAGCTCGAGGAGAGCTACGGAACTGAGAGGAGAATGGGAACTGAGGAGAACCAGATGGAACAGCAATGATTTAGGCTATCAGAACTGATTATTATGTACCTGGTTTTCTGTTTGGTAATGGCATTAATTAAATTACATAGGGGATTTCTTAAATTTCGGATCTATTGTGAGAATAAAGACAAATGCGGAGTAAATGTTAAGGGGTGTTTGTTATGCTGTATTTAGGAGCTAAAGTATTTTAAATGTAAAAATTTTAAAAATCTTAGTATTTGATTTGAAGTAAAATGAATGTAAAGAATAAAAATAATGTTTAAATACATCAGCTTATGCATTTTTGATATATTTGGAATTCCTAAGATTTGGGCAATTTCCAAATACTACTAATGTATCGCATTGCCACCCCTGCTATCCCCTTCCTCCTTTGACCACCACCGCCACTGTTGACCAACGTGGCTCTCCTCCAACTAGGCAACCACTACCACCGGCCACGGTCAACTATCCTCCATCTCCGTCATAATGGGCCGAGCACCCCTCACACTGAGGAATGAGGGGTCTATTTATAATTTTCTAAGAGCGGCATGACCATTATATAGGGGGAAGATCAAGGGTATGTTGGAAATAGTTTGAAGGGATGGCCGATATTGATCCCCTTGACCATAGAGTGTTTACTAGGCATTTGAATGTCTTAATGATATCATAATTCAATGATTTTGGGCTCGTTAGATTTGTTTCATCGAGCCGCTCGATTCAACTATAAGCATGTCACGATTGAAATTTTTTTTGTAATCCAAATTATGGTTTGAACCTTCCGAATGTGCTTCGGGTCTTTGATTTGAACTCATTTGGGCTCAGATTGAGCGAATTTGGTGTCTTTGGGTTCATATTTTTGAGACGTTCAATTCTACTATAAGTTTGTTGAAATCAAAGTTCATATGATCCTGAATTTAATTTTGGAAGTTTTCAACTTGATTTTTTTTTCCTTGAGATTCGTGCTTATATCAAGAATACAATTATTAAATGCAGATTTCCATAAATAAATTTTACATTAAAACTTGGTGTCATTATTAGGTTATATTCAATGTTATGATCAGTTTATTATAATTAAAGTTTAGTTTATTCAGTAAACAACATTATTACCATTACATCTTAAAGCTAACTGCTGCTTTGCAACCTTTCATATTCCAAACGGTAACCTTTCATTCTCGCACCTGATGAGAGGAATGCAAAACGACAGCCATGCCAACTGCGTGCCCTCATATACTAAACTTGGAGGAAGGAGAAACAACCGCGTCGTTACCATTCTCCTTCGGTGATTAGAAAATATTGGTTTTAGCGGCAAAGATATTAAAAAAAAAAAATCAAGTGGTAGGCTCTTCATTCTTTATTGCCTGAAATAGGTTTCAGAGGCGAAGATTCAAGCGGTAGGCGGTGTTTTTTTTTTTTTTTTGGTATTTTTTATTCAGATAAGTTTACTTATATTTGCTTAATTCAATTTTTTTTCTAAATGTTTGGATGCAGTGGAGATATTAGATTATATACAATTACATCAAGTTAATTAGTTCTTTTTTTTTTGTTTTATGATTTTACTGGTGCAGACTGCAGAATGATTAATTACAAGTGAAGGGATTTCACTTTTTTTTTAATTTAACTTAATTAGTTATTCAAAGTTAAAACATTATTTTTCTATAATTTCTCTTAATTAGGTGAACTTAAATATCATTATTTAGAAAATTATTTATGTTTCAGATCTTGATGCTTTTGTCTCTTAATTATAATTGATATATCATCAAAAAATTATGTTGATTGGGCATGAATCTCGAGGGAAAATTAAGTTGTAAACTTCAAAAATTTAATCGGAGACCATTTGAAATTTGGTTTCAACAAACTTATAGTCGAACTGAATGTCTCAGAAGTACAAGCCCAACGACACCAAATTCGACTTAATCCGAGCTCAAATGAGTCCAAATCAAGGGCCCGAAGTGCTGCTGGAGGGTTCAAACCACAATTTGGATTACCAAATAGTTTTCAAACATGACATGCTTATAATCGAATCGAGCGACTCGACAAGACAAATCCAACGAGACCAAGCACTACAAGAAAATTACTAATTTCCGGCGGAATTTTCCGGCGGCTTTTTGGCACTTTCTCGACAGCTTTTTCCGGCAGCTTTTCCAATTTTTTGACAGCTTTTAAAAAAATTAAAGAAAAAATGAATAAATTTTAACTATTTAAATGATTTAACAAATAATTATTAAAAGTTATATTAACTATTTAATTAATATTGTCGCGGTGGGGCGTGGCACGCTAGGATTTTTTTTATTTTATTTTTTAATTTGACCGGTGGTTTAAGACCGCCGGCAAGCCGCCAGAATAATTAGCCGCCGGAAAAAACCGCCGGAATTTATTTTCCGGCATCATTTTTATCGGTGGAATTTTAACCACCAGAAAAGGCTCAATTTTCGCCGGAAAAGGCCGCCGGAAATGGGTGATTTTCCTGTAGTGAAGATCACAAAATTCTGACATCAATAAGACCTTCAAATATTTAAGGAACATTGCATGATCAAGGGATTCAACATTAGCCGTCCATCCAAACCACTTCCTATTTACCCTTGATCTTCCTTCTATTTACGGGCCATACCACTCCACGAAATCTATAAATAGAGCCTCCATTCCTCTTGAAAAGGGACTCCTAAGCCTAAGGAGAAAAGAGAGAGATCAGAGATCGCTCTTGCCTCCTCGGCCACTGTCGGAGTTCCGGCAGACCATCACTTGAGGCCCTGAGTTCCGTCAGACCACCACCTAATGCCCTAAACTCCGCCGAACCACCACTTGAGGACATGTGCTCCGTCAGACCACCACTTGAGGCACTGAGTTATGCCAGACCACCACTTGAGGCCCTGAGCTCTGCTGGACAACTACTTGAAGCCCTGAGTTTTGCCAGACCACCACCTGACCCCCGGTCTTCTACCTATTACGGTCCATTCGACCTCCCTCGCCAAACAACGATCATTTTGACCCCTATGTCCTATCGACTACGATCCTTTCGACCTTCATCGCCTACTACGATCTTTTTGACCTTTATCATATCGACTTTGGTCCTACTGACTTAAACAAACATGTCTATATTAATTATTGTAACTCCCACTATTAATGCATTCTATATGATATACATTTGTGACATCAAGCTAAGGCCTTCTCCCAAAGAAGGGCCTCATTTATAATTGACTTCAAATACTAGTGAATTCATTCAAACTGGGCCAGGCCCCATGATTTCCCCCCCTTTTTAGGGGTTTCCACATAAAAACTCTAGTGTCTCTTATGAAAGTTATGCTATCTCTTTCATCTGCTTATGTAATGGATCTTCATACAATGCTAAAACATTAAACTATATATTTCTCTATCGCCATGAATATTCTAGGACGCAACAGTTTGGCGCCGTCTGTGGGAACATAGTTCTTGACTTGGGGGCAACTATTGCTACAATCTTAAAAGTTCGCTCTTATCAACATCCTAATATTATCCATTGATGCATCAATTTCATAAGAATCAGATGCGGACTGGGGGCAAATTTAACTCCAACCATGGTAAAAAAGATTCTCCAATGCTTTCAACATCATGATGATATTTTCTGAAAATCCCAATAAATGCAAGGATATTTCTAATCAATTATAAGTTTATATAATCTCTTGTTGGACTTTTACTCCTTGGAGAAGGTCCTAATTTCGATCTAAAAAAAGTAGTAATGGTCTAAAGATAAATCAATCTTCACCTTTGATTCAGGATATATGCGATGTTTGCCCCCTCCCGATCAAGGCAAAATGAATCATAGGGGGATTCACTTCGACCTCTTCCACACATGTTAACATCATATAACAAGGCTCTAACATACAACCTCGGATATGTCACACATCCTTGGTAGATTCTCTCGACCTCTTGCACACAGGTTAACGTCATCGAGTAGGGCTCTGACATACAACATCATATAGGTTAACTATTCTAGGACGATGTCTATCAAATTTTAAATCCTTGATTCAAGAAATATGCAATCTTTATTATATCTTAATCACTGGTTGATTAATCCCAGGGGGATTTGATTTGACCTTTTTTACACAGATTAACATCATCGAGTAGGGATCTGACATATAACCTCATATAGGTCATACATCCTTGGTGGATTATCTTGACCTCATCCATATATGTTAATATCATCGAGCAGGGCTTTGACATACAATCTCAGATAGGTCAAACATCATAGGAGGATGTTAATCAAATCTTAAATATTTGATTCAAGAAATACACAATCTTTATTATGTCTTAATCACTGGATGATCAATCCCATGGAGATTCGATCACACCTCTTTCATATAAGTTAACATCATCGAGTAGTACTTTGACATAAAACCTCAGATAGGGCATATATTTTTGATGGATTTTCTTGATCTCCTATATAATATTAACGTCATCGAGCAATGCTCTAACATACAACCTCAGATAGGTTATACATCATTGGTGGATTCTCTCGACCTCTTCCATATATGTTAACGACATCGAGCAGGGCTCTGACATACAACCTCAGATAGGTCATATATTCTTGGTGGATTCCCTTGTCCTCTTCTATATAGGTTTATATCATCGAGCATGACTCTAACATACAATCCGAATAGGTCATACATCATTGGTGGATTCTACCGACTGCCTCCATATTGGTTAATGTCATCGAGCATGTCTCTGACATACAACCTCAGCAAACATCCTTTATGGATTCTCTTGACCTCTTCCATATAGATTAATATCATCGAGCAGTGCTCTAATATATAACATTAGATAAGTCATATATCTTTGACAGATTCTATTAACTAACGCTCTACTGCACATAGATAGACTTTCATTTGGTTCTACCTGACGCCAAATTTATATCTGACGTTGGACTTCTGCCCGTAACTGGACTTCTTCCTAACGTTAGACTTTTACTTGATGCCAAATTTCCACCCGCCGTTGGAGTACTACCCGTCGCCGGACTTTTGTCGGGCTTCTCCCCAATGTTGAATTTCTACTCGTCATCAGACTTTTGCCATTTGTCAAACTTTCATTAGGCTTCTAC